TAAGCGGCCTCGCTGCTGTATCCCCTGTCTCATGCAAGCCTCCCAATCCACTTGCATCTGACTTGCATGCATGCAATCAGCCAGGATGTGGAGCCTAGACGCTTTGCTAAACCCGACAGAATCCGCTCTAACCTCGCTTGTCGCCGCATTGCCGACTTGGGCACGCTACAGACGCAGATGTCGTTCAACACACTTGCAATTTTACCATGCTATTCTGCTTTCTGCGGTCTTGCACTGGCTGTAATCCTGATTTTTCTTCTGGCCCGACCAAGCGAAGCGACCATCCGATCCCGCTCTATTTCATTTCCTTTGTGCTTCTCCAGGACTACCGCGGAAATATCCGTTGCGAGCACGCAATGTCCGGACGGCTGTATGGCGTGCTGGCAAGTTGTATACCAAAATCCACAACTGACGCGGAACTACCCAACCGCCCGACCCGATGAAGAAATGGTATTACACAGCCCCCCCTCGTCTTAACAAGACGGATGCACGTCTTTGTTGGTCGAGTTGAAACATTGGCTGTCTGCTGAGTGGGCAAGGTCGCATGCGCTCCTGATACGAAAACGCGGGATGCCCGTGGGGGTCCGTGTACGTGATTCATTTAGACGTTGTATATTGGCAAAATGATTCGGGGGAAATTTCCCTTTGGACGATGACGATGGGCCCCCTCGCCTGTCCGTCTTCTCCTCATCGACCACACGTCGGTCGGTCGTTTGGACGGACGGGCGATCTCCACAGTTGGGCTTGCAACGGTTGGCCATCGTACTGGGGGCCGATCGTGGGTTAAGACGAGGGCGGACGGGAAAGGGTCCTGCTCGTGTGCTTGCTGCTGGGGCGCTGACGTGGAGGCTCGCGTGCTCTTGTTCCGTTTCTAGTGCTTGTTCCGGTTGATCAGGCCAGGCCAGCCTTGGTCGGGCGCTGCGATGTCACTCGAGCGTATTGTAGCGATCAACGCTTTGCCGATGTTGCGAAAATACAATGACGTCTGACGGCGCTACTCGCCGTCTTGGGCGCTGCTCGGCGGGCATGGGTAGCGGGGGTATTGCGTTGCGTGGCTCGGCGGGCGGCGTGAAATGTGCGAATAGCTTCATGCTGTGGTGAAATCGTGAGGCTGTCTCGCAACGAGGTCGAACCGATCGTGATACCCCGGGGACTACCATGGACCTCCTCACCGTCTTTCCATCTCCATCGTCATCCACTGTCGTCCATCATCTATCCATCCCAGGTAGGTAAAGTCGCATCAATCCAAAGTATCTTGTCTTGGCATTCCGGAAGAGGCAGTCGAACGGCGGAGCGGAATCGAGTCCAGCAGCAAGAGTAAGCACCATCGAATCCAACACACAAAGACGACACCCGTGTGCTTATAACCCAAGCACACGCACGCTCAGACCCAGCGAAAAACCTTACGCACGCATAGATAGGCCGGTGAGACCATCGCTCGTTATCATTGCGCGATTGATAACGCCACGCTTAGTGGTCCATGATTGACCTGCCAACCCCCCCTCCGAGGCTCACAGGGGCCATTGAGCCTCACAAAGTCTGAAACCATGTCCACGATAGGAAGGCCAGCCACAGTTCCCCGGACTTCATTGGCTTGTGGGTTGCCGTTTGAGGGCGCAGCGAGGAGATAGTAGAGATAGTGATAGTACTATCTCCCGGTAAGGACCCTTATCTGATGCAAGGTACGCGGACGTGCATGTATGTCTGTTGCGGGTATGCGGTCGAGCGTTGGTATCATTGGATGACTGGGAACGGAACGCGGCGAACGGGAGATGTGGTGCTGCGTGGCTGGAAGTTCGGTAGCTTGGAGGTTATCGTCTGGAGATGTTGGGGAACTGGGGGAGGGAGAACATCTGTGCGCGGTTTTGATAGTAGGACAATGACTAGGGGGTTGGCTCGCCGTCGGCGAATGTCTTGTTCCATTCTGCGAAGTGATTGGAACGACGGATGGGCATAACATGTTGGAATGACGAATGTAGAGGGTAGGGTGAGATGGGTGTGGGTATGGATATCGACAGAGCGCGTAACTGAGTACATTGCTGGATATCTACAACGGGTGCACAACCGTGCATCATGACACGACGAGTCGCGTGGACATGAGCAACATTTGTTTCTCTTGCAGTGAACCCTATCTTCCAGCGAGTATAGGTACTTCAGCTGTGATACGCTCCCGAGATCTGACCCAGTCCATCTCTTGTTGGCTGGCAAGAATGCCGCGTGTCTCCAAAGGAGAGATGGGGGTACCTGTCCTCCCTATCTCCTGCACAATATCCGTCTCGTCTATCGTCGTAGATACAACTCCGCGGCGCGTTATCGTCGATGCGTATCGTGGTACTTCTGGTGGGATGTTGCATAATCTCTCTCCTCTCAGCCCGCAGCCTCACTTATCGCCCTCCTTGCCTTCCTTATCACCCCCTCCCCCCTTGACCGTCTCTTCACCCAGAACTTTACTCGCTGCCATAAACCTACAACATATCTCATTAGTACGCCGTCCTGTTACAGAATCCCAGGCCCGACCCAACACCTTCCAGCCACCCTGCTGTTCCGCGGGATAACTCACATAGCACCAGCGTACCCACCCAGACCACGCATGTCCTGCGCCTGGCCGGCTGTCATACGCATCAAGCTTTCCAGATCCGACATATTCGCCGTCAACTGCGCGAGTTGCGCTTGTAGGTGCGAGAGTTGGCGCGGCTTCTGCGAGGGGACGGTGCTGAGGCGTGAACCGCCGGCGGGAGTGTGGGAGCGGGGAGCGTTTGACATTGCGATTGTCTGATCGTGTTCTTTTGCGAGAGCGGCGGCTCGACGTCAGGTAGGGTCGAGAGGTTTAGAAGGAGTGTGTTTGTTTGTGTTGTGTTGGAATGCGTGTGGGGGAGGGCGTGTCGCACGGCATCGGCTTTGTTGGTGGGACTCCCGCGGCGAAAAGGCCTTGGCGGTTGATTGAATATCCACCGAGGGTCGTCGCACTTTTGCTCCAGAGCAACCTTTTTGTTCATCGCAACATGACTGTGTACCGCCATTGACACGTCATCGTTACCAAGTCACTATTTCTCTGGGTCTATAGAAACATGGCGACCCTTCAGACGGTTCGTCGGTGGATTATGACAGCTGCCGTCGCTTCGATTACGATTACGGGTACTATCTACGGTGCGGGATTGAAGGGGCAGCAGGAAGTTAAACAGGTACGTTCCGTCATCCTTCATACATTGCAGCCCTCCTCCCGACAGCTCTTTCTCTCAATGCGCACACTGAGCATTCTTTCGCTTCAATCATTTCATCCATCATCACCCACTAACCCCACTCCTCATAGAAAACACGATACATGATCGAAGCCACGCCCGAAGAACGCATTGCACAGCTCGAGACTACGCGCGCCGAGTTAATGCTCAAGAAGAACGAGATGGAGAGGAAGATGGCTATCTTTGCTGAGCGCAGGAAGGAGAAAGAGGCGCGCGAGAATGGGAAATGAGAGGTTGGAAAAGATGGCGCCGGACAACTATGATGAGGGGATGGGATACTTGAATATGGGAGAAAGAGTGGGTAGGCTGGCATACGCGAGAGGCGAGCGTTGGGAAATAAGAGACGGGAGTACGAAGGCGCGCTGATGAGGGTATCGGCTCTTTTGGCACGCACGAACTACTCGCGACGAAGGAGGTCTGTGGGCGACAAACTCTGCCCACTGCCGGCATACATCCTTCGAAAAACGTACCACTATTCCTTCCACCTTCTCACGCACCGCCGATCCAAACGTTCACACATCCTCGAAACGAAGAGCCGACACCCTCGACACCCATCTCGATCACCACGCCCACCCCACATACAAGCACCAGCAATTTGAAAATCCACCAAGCAGCGAGCATCGACTACAACCCATGTTCGCTATTACCCACACGCTTTGTCATCCCCTCCGCGGAACACATCGCCACGTCGATCTCTGTCGATCCTGCCACACCCTCTGCCGTCGCTTTCGGGGTTCCCACCTCGCCTCGCCTCGGTTCGCCCTGCCCGCCGCTCTCGATTCGAATGGCCCTGCAGATTTTGTATCCGCTAGAGTATATTGCTGAGGGTCCAGTGGGTGGTCGCATGAGGCTGCCTTGATGGTCCGCTGTCATGGAGGTGGTGTGCGACATCACTGGCGCAGGGACGATCTTTACGCGGCCTTGCAGACGAGCTGTGTGGTGACGGCATGGGTTATGTTGTGCGGAGATGGGCTGCTACGGGCGGAGGTGGCAGTTATTCAGAACAACAACCCTGCGGACAGATGAACATAGAAACAGCGTCCACCTCCGCCTGTAGTAACCCATGACTCGTTGTCTCCAGTGTGTCGCGCTCCTCCCCAAGCAATCACGTCGATGTACCGAAGGATATAATACTCGGAGTCAGCTTTCTACTAGCAGGTTTTAGTTTTGGAGATGGCTTGAGTTGATTCGAAGGTTCAGTATCTCAAGGAGCTGTAAGATGGAATTTCAGTACTTGGTCTTGTGAAGGATGGGGTAGAAATGGCTGTTCCGAGCAGATCTTGAGATGATGGGAAAGGCACACTTCCCTTTTACAGGCGGACTACAAGGGATCTTTTGGGATCCAGCAGATCCCTTGTAGTCCACCTGTAAAAGAAAGGTACTGATGCCTGCGTACGTTACTGTTGTTTCTGTACTTCTTACATGCCACTCCTGCTGTTCAAGATCATTGCTTCTCTATTCCCTCTATGCGCAATCATGCCTCCTCAATTGTCTGCGGCAGCAACTTCCTTCCAAAGACACAAAGTGTCATAATTCGGCGCTCGAGCATACGCAGTTTCTTACCACAAGAATCTGCCATCCGCTCGACCACGTTGATTCTTTCTTTCATCAGCCACTCACACATGCCAATTCGTTCAACAACAATCAACAACGCTTCTTCGATTTCAATTTCTGTCAACTGTATGTACTCTTCTGGTGCCTGTCACCCTTATGTACGACCCTCTTCATGGCCTCCATTCCGTATTCAACAGCATCCTCCCATCAAAGCGTGAAGAACTCAAGATACCCCTCCATCTCTCCACCAATATGTATCACATGCTTCCCTACATTCTCATTCGCCATCTCCGCCGCCCCAGGAAGATCCCTCAACCCCATTTCCCGCCCGCTAATCTTCAGCACCATCATCTCCCCAGCCTCAAACACCATACCCGTCGGCCAAAGCTGGACACGCAACCTAACCACCTCCCCCGGCGCAACTTTGTCCTTGCGCTCCATCGACAGCGTTTCCCACGTCTTGCTCCGCAGCGCGTCTGCGACATGGCGTTTAGACGCGCGCAACATGCCGCTGGGACCGAGGTACCGCCAGACCCTATTTTGCGTCATTTTTTCTGCGACTTCAGAGGGTGTGTTGGCCGGAATGGGAATGTTCAGGTGAGAAAGCATGGTGCCCGATGCAGAGGCTTTGAAGATGTGGGCGCGGATGTCTAGGTCGTTGTGATCCTGTGCTGCGATGGAGAGGACGACGGTGGAAGGGCCGGTGAGGATGGTTTTGCTCGGGAAGGTGTATGTGAAAGTTAGTTCGGAGGGGGAGTCGGCTTGGTACTCGATTGTGGTTGTTGAGAGGGGCGCGGTTGGGGTGAGGGTGCCGGTGGGATGGAGATGCAGTTTCTGGACTGTGGCTGTGGGGAGGTGCCATGGTAGGTCTGGGTATTCTTGGTCCAACAAAGCTGGTTTGGTGAAGTTCAAAAAGGCCATGCGAACGGGTGCGGTCTGTGGCCAATCGTTGCGGAGGTCTTTGAGGTGAAAGTCGAAGAATCGGGCGAGGTCTGCGGTGCGGCTTGGACTGTAGAGGTCGTACCATTCTTGAGTTGCGTGGAGGACGAGCCTGAATGCGGAGTTGTCAATAACTGCAAAACGTGTGGACGAGAGCAAGATGGGGGTATACGCACCATTTATCTGGATGCTGCATCTCCTCGAAAGCTCGTAGGGCGCCGATGGTATGGAGCGTCGATGAATAGCTGGCTCCGATATAAGCAGGCACCTTGATCCTTGCCATATCCACACGCTTATCGTCAAGATATCCCTTGGGCACAGGATTCATATGGGCCATTGCAGCGTAATCCTCCACCATGTTCTTCCCCGCCAACATAGTAGCAACCCATTCGTTGAACCCCGTGTTCGGAATACCTCCACGTAGCGACTGCTCGCGCAGAGGATCCGATAAGCCCTCCAGAGGCGCAATACATACCAAATGCGGTGGCTGCTCAGCCGCGATAAACCACTGGGATATTGCGAGCCAGGAGTTGCCTGATAGGGCTAGTTTGCCAGAGCACCAGGGGAGCTTCGCGAGCTCTTCGATGGCGTCGTGGCCATCGCGGCCTTCGGTGCTGCCCCAGAAGTGGATGTTGCCAGAGGAGTTGTTCACGCCTCTTGGGTCTACCATGACGATGGCGTAGCCACGGGGTACCCATTCTGCAGGGTCGAGACTGGAGTTGTGGTTAGTGAGGGATTTCGCCTTCTGCTTTCATGCTATCTTGGTTCTAGGCTTACCCTTCGAAGCCTTCGTAGCCTGATAGTTGAGTCTCTGGTATACCAGCTCGAAGTGGCATGCCATGAATGTTTAGCATTCCCGTTCCAGTCTTGCCATATGGGCCCCACATGACGATTGCAGGAACCTTCTCGTCGGTCTTGGGACGGAATACGTCGGCATAGATCACCGTTCCATCTCTAAGCGTAACGGCTTGGTCTTGGTCGAAGATAGTTGTTGTTGCAAACGGGCGGAATGTTGGTTGCTTTCTGTGACCCGGTGGAAGTTCGGTCGTCCTTTGGTTCAGCGGAGGGATGTTTTGCTTGACAGCGTCGAGAAATTTGACGTCGACTGAGCCGATTTTGATTGAAGTCATAGTAACGAAGAGACGAAGTCAAGAGATTAAGAGGCGATAGAAGTTTTTGAGAAGGAATTGATTCGATCGTATACCAACAGTGGAACATCCTGCGCAATGGCACTATTTATGCCCGCTTTTCGAAGCATACTTATCAACTCCACATTCCGGTTTGCATTACCGCATCTACCGTTGCGAGCACCCGACTTTAAGGTGTGGTAGGCTTGTGGTCAGGAACATAGATGGTGGAGAGCTAAGAGGAGGATGATGTACTTTCGGGATGTATGTTTGTCCGGGTCCGTTGTTCGATCATCGTACAACAACACTGGGCATGCTCGGCCGAAAGACTTGGCACATACTCCCCAACCATGTTTGATGTTCAACGCGTCGACACTAACAGGGTCGGAAAGATACAATTGCTAGCTCCCGGCAACCTCCTGGGTCAATACCTGCATTGCCTACGTACGTGCCGTGGCGCGCGGTAATGCGCGGCATGCGCGGGTACCGACCGCGGTGACTAGAACCGTGAGTACAAGACGAGATATTTCCATGTTTATTTCACTGTATTAGTCCGTCCATCTCAATTCCAACCTTGCCCTCGCTGCTCGAACCCGCGAAATAGAAGTCACCAACCCACCAACAAACCATGACTACAACATCCAGCAAGGCGCTGTACGTCGACGAAGACGGACAAATCCAGATTCGAAACAATATCAAACACGAAGAAACTGCGGCCAACGAGATAGTGGTAGAAGTGAGATACTCAGGTGTCAACCCGGCAGACGCCAAACACTCACAGCTTGGCATCCGTTCGACAGTCAGTGGTTACGACTTCTGCGGCACTGTTGTATCAACACCTACCGGATCGCGCTTCAAGAAGGGAACCACCGTGGCTGGCTATACACCCTCGGGCATTGGCCGACCCCTGAAGTACGGCGTACACCAACGCCGTGTTGCGTGCCCAGAAGACATGGTATTCGAAGTGCCGTCCAATCTCCCGGAGAGCCACGCCGCAGCGCTGACAGTAGTGGCAATGACGGCTGCAGACGCGGTATTCAATCTGTTCCAGTTCCCTTTGCCTACCGCTCCAGTGGTCTGCACACAACCAGTCCTGGTTTGGGGTGCTTCTTCTAGCGTCGGCTTCAGCGCCGTCCAGTTCCTGCGTGCCAGTGGGTGCAAGAACATATTGGTGACTGCTTCGCCGGCCCGGCATGAGCTACTGAAGAAGATCGGGGCAACGCTTGTTTTCGATTACGCTTCGCCGACGGTTGTGTTTGATATTGCCGCTGCGGTGGAGGCTCTTGGTGAGGGCCCGATCGCTCATGCCCTGGACGCGGTCGGTGCTTCGTCTTCAGCGGACCTGGTCGTACGAAGTGTGAATAATCCTTCCGCGACTTTGGTTTCTGTGACCAAATTCGATGGGGGGTTCCGCATGCCCGTTGCGTACACGAAAGACAGCTGGCGCATCCAGCCACCTGGTGTTCCGCATATAATCGAGACTCCTGCCAGACCGGAAGACCATTGGCATGCCTGGAAAGCATTGCAATGGGCCGTGGAGAACTACGGCGACCGCTTCGAGCTCCCAAATGTAGAAGTTTTTCAAGGCACTGCTGAAGACGCGTTGCAGCAGGTTGTCAAAGTTGGTGGATTTGGAAGAGGGTTTGGAAAACTAGTCATCCAACAGCCCCTGCTGTGAGTCGAGTTGTTGGTTTTGTGGAGGTGGTAATGAACTTAACAAGATACTGCTGGCGATAGTATGAGAAAAGAACATGGGTAATCGTGTTGATACCATACTTGTTAGCAGTACGTAGAGAAGCAGAGTCAAGTAGCACTCGCGTCTACTCCTCTACTACTTACGGTTTCTCGAACTAACTGCATTCTGCTCTATCTGGGACCGATGCAGTTGAAGTCTCTCCTGAAGCAAACATGGATGCTGTGCGAGGGAGCCTTCAGCAGACAACGGATCAATTAGCAGCATCGCATGATCATCGCGTTACATATAGACCTCCATTATCCTCTCCTCGGATGACCGGAGCTATGCGTCTATCGCAGGAAGCATTGCCCTTTTCGAGAAGCCCTTGCTTGCAACGCACCCAGAATGTCGGGTCCACCTTCTCAAGGACAACCCCACCATATGCACGATCATGCGTACAGTATCGGGCGCGTCACCTCGATTGGCGACGTGCTTTCGTCCCCTTACCGATGAGAAACGTGTGATGATGCGTTTGGGCGTCTCATGCACTACCAGTCGGCTTTGAGCGAGCCAATGGAGGGCTATGGGTTTTGTGGGAGATGCCGTTGAGGGAGGGCAATTCCCGGTGCAGACATCGCTTTTTTCTTGGGAAACGAATTGGTCGCCTTAGCCATTTGAACGTGTGTTCTGGTATCGCTGATAGAGTTTAGGGTGGATCATATTTGCTAACCAGCGACGTGGTAGCACATAACGGTGTGATAGACGTACAAGAGAGCGAAAGAGGAAGGCATGCATTGGGTGTGAGCATGTAAGTCCTTCGCGCCCGAAGTTTAGGTCCAACGTCGGTGTATTCGCTGACTCGTCACTGATTAGGATCGTTCGATGCAGTCAATTTCAGACACCGGCATTCAGGCGCGAGCCAGTCTTGTGTAAGTAACTGTCAACAAGTATTTTCCTCACACGTGGACAGAGTGACCTTGGTTACGCCGCACTGCTATCGCGGTAATCGCAGAGGGCGGTCGCCGAGGAAGTTTGAGTACCGGTAAGGATGCGCATTGTTCAAGGGATGTGAGCGTGGTTAGGTCTGACACCTCACCTCAAGCCACATTGTGCACGACAGCTATAACGTAGCATCAGTATAGCTCTACAACGAATTTGTAAAGGTTGAGGCGTCCAGGTGGAGTAATACAATCTACTCAATCATACATTCAACCATCCTTCTCCGTGCCGCACCTTCTCGAAGGCGCATCTGCGACCCGCCATCTAGGTTCAGCCGTGTGATGGGGCGCTCCTTGAATCCGCAACACGGTTTGGACATTGGATCATCACAACAAGCGCCAAACTGTAGTGCGTTACGGGCCGCAATCCAGCGGTGTGGGCGTTCAGAGAGCAGCATCGACTCGTGGGGACGGCAAAAGAGAGGAAGGAAGGTAGTACCAACAGCTATGTTGATTTGCCGTCTTCGCTTCAAGCGGCTAGCGCGAACCACATCGTGACAGCCCGTCGGTCGCCTCGTTATCTCCCACGCACCATCCCACTCGCAATTACCCATCGCACACCAGTCCAGCAAGCAACAAAGCATTCAGAAGATGGCATATCGGTAATGGTGAACAGGAAAAAGCAACAGTGAACCGCATAGTTGGTGTAGTTTTAGGCATCCACAAACACGCGCGAACCAATGCACCGGGACATCGGTCACGCCCGCGTCCTTCAGCCGCACGGACATGCACTGTGGCCCTCCCTTCTTCGACGTATGCCGTCATCGAAGCAAAGCCTTTCTCGTAAAACCGCTGTGTAAGAGAAGGGATATGTAACGCCGCGCGGTAAGGGTGGGAAATGCGAGATGGGGGTTAGAGAGCGGCCTGTGCAACGTCGAGCTGCGTTCCAGTGCCTTTGCTTTTTTCCTCGTCTCGATTCAAACGGCATGTCAAAATGATGGTGTCCACGTCGGATTCATGTCAAGGGGTGGCTTTAGCCACTTGTTCCTGCTCTTCTTTTTCTTCTCTTCTCTCCTCCCTTCTCGTCGCCGCACCTGTCCCTAAGTGCGTCTCTCCTACCACCCACACATTTTCTTCTTCTCCCTCTTCTTTGCCAAGTGCCCTCATCGAAGCCGTTACGCTAGCTCAGCCTTGAGGATTGCATCATCGAAATCGAGTAGCATTATCCAGGCTCAGGGTTGCTCTTGGTGAGGCTACAAAGGCCGTAGGTGGAGGCAACTGGCAATACTGGATCCGACTGAACCCCGTCAGTTGGGATGTTGCGGCAAGATTGTTAAGAGGTGGTGTCGAGATTGTTCACGATCAGAGCAGAAGAGTATACAAGAAGAGCTCATCGCAGATCCAAAGCGTATCACAATAAAATCCCGAGCTTCGCATCTACCTTCCCTAGAGCCCTAGCGCGATCAACCTCCGAAACGAATATATCACATCGACTCATCTCGTTCCGGTCCTCAATACGCCCATTCCACGACTCGTCTACGCTCGATACGACCCCATCCAACGCCTCCCGAACATGTGCTACATCGTCTACACCATACACGTGTGCAACCACTGGATACCCCAACCCCAACCCAACAACGGCCCCATACTACGCATATGCGAAGAAGCCGAGAAGCTACGACTTGGCCACCCTTGCCCGGAAACACAACGAGAGCACAAAGTCATGAACCGAAGTCAAGGCATGTGTACAGGCTGCATGTGGAAGAAAGTCAGCAAGTAAGCCATCCTCCAGATCGCCCAACGTTGTCAAGGAAAGAAAAAGCGGGGACGATATGTGGGGGTTCTCAGACGAAAGAGCCGCGGCAGAATCAAATAGCAGGAATGTGGAGATGGGATAAGGGAAAAGGAAAAGGAAAAGAACAGGATTACGGGGTGGAGAAGGGCCGATAATCTGCCTCTTCTTTGCTCGTTTAGCCTTCATAGGCGGAGACGACCGTCAACCGTCGACCGCTTCACTCTGGCTTTCCAAGGTTCTGTGTCGCGGGTCGGCGTGGGCGGTCATGATGACAGGCACATGCCGAGAATAAGGCCGCGTGTGAACGCCCACCTTCCCAACCGGAACTGCCATTGCGAGGCTGAGAGAGCAGCGACACGTGCGGCTTAGCTCTGGCGGTGCATGCACGATACGGCCCGGGTCTCGGTCCGACCAAGGTGTCAGATTTGCCGTTTGTCTGGGGGATTCGCTGGGTGAGCTTGAGGGTTCTTGAGGCGCTGCGGAGTTGACGGAATACAAATATACCCGGGAGGTCTTTTGTCTTTTACGTCGGTGTTTGGGGTAGAAGGGTGCAACTATCGATAGTAACGTATTTCTAGTCCATGATATGATAGAC